ATCTCGAGTCCTTTCTCCTCCATTTTTTTTTTGTCTTCTGCTATGTCCTTAGTCATCTTCATTTATCTTTATCTCACACTTCCATGTCTGCCTCTCAGATCCACTTCTTCATCCATCACCCATCCTGCTCAAATCCTCCCATTTCCTCTTTCCTCCTCCATCCTATTGCCCCATTTTCATCCTGGCCACACAAACCCTGGGAGCTGGCTGATCTCTTAGGGAACTCGCCATGGAAATGGTCACCAAGATCAGCCATCCTATCCCCACATGTGGAGGCTGCAGGGCTTATGTCAGTTCTGTGCTTGGGAAACCCACAATGCCGCACAGGATCCCAAGTCCTCCCATCCAGTCACCACTGTCCCCATAGAGCCCGAAGGGCGGTGGAGCAGGCCACACTCACCCATCTAAACTCCATGACGAGGCATTTCCTTGTGTTTGTAGTGCTTTCATTTTATGAACAAGTTCTTGATCCACTTGGCTTAACCTGGATTAAGGAAAGGGTGACAGTTGGCTGACTGTTTTTTCATGGTCATAGACACCCGAACCACTTATTGAATAATAATTATCTTGTTCTAGAAACTCTGGGTCCGCAGGACTAAGTTTAAGGTTTTATACCTCAATGAATAAACCTAGGATGATAAGAAGCAGCTCTGGGGAGGAATTTAGGAGACAGATGAAGTGAAATTCAGGTCTGATTGGCTAGAAAGGAAAGATCTCTTAGGTTAGAACTAGACTCTGTGATAACCTGTATCAGTTATTTCTTTTCTCTGTTTTCTCTCAGCTAAAGGTAGAAGTTGAGGTGAAGGATTTTTGAGTTGCTTTGAGAGTTTAGTTGAACCAGCTGCATCAAAGAATTAAGAATACCTTTTATTTAGTGCTGGGAATAACTGTGGTGATAGTTATTTCAATCTCATAGTTTCAAAGAGAAAGTTCAGGTGTTCAGATTGCCTGAGAACACACAGATAGTAAAGTGATGGAATAAGCCAGAATGACTATTTCATCGCTGTATGCATAAAATATTTTGCATGTGTTATGAAATAATTGTTCTACAAATATAAAATTTAGGTTTCTGATTCTTTGTGGTATTCTTTTCAGTGTACCATGGAACTATTACAGATTAGATAATAATAAAAATAAGTGTCTTTGAGTAACCAGGACCCTCTATAAAATGTTGAAGACAAAGATCATGCCAATATAAACATGTTTCCCCAGCAATTAACTGAACCTTATGTGGTTTATTCATTTCTTAGCGTTATCATAGAAAAGTACCATAGATTGAGTGGGTTTTCCTATAGAAATTATTTTTCTATCGTTCAGGAGGCTAGAAAATCTAAGATCAAGGTGTTGGTAGGGTTAGTTTCTTTTCTTCTCTTTGACAGATAGTTGACGTATAGTATGATTTTAATTTCAGGTGTATTGGTTGGTTTCTTCTGAGGGTCATGAGGATCTATATTCTAGGCCTTTAACCTTGGCCTGCAGATGGCCATGTCTTCACATAATTGTCCACGTTTGCCTTAATTTCCTCTTCTTATAAGCACATCTTTCATATCGGATTGGGATCCATTCAATGGCCTCATTTAATTTAATTACCTATTTAAATACTGTATACTTATATGATTATGATTATATGATTATACTCAAAGGTATTGAGGGCTAGGACTTCAACACATGAACATTTAGGGGAGGACATAATTCAGCCCAGAGCACATGGATACCAGCTAGCTTTTCCCTCATTTTATACATGCATTTTAATTAATTACTTAATTAATTTTAAAATTTTTTACATCATTGTCCATTTTATTTTATTTTATTTTTTTAAGAAAGTTTTTTTTTTTGAAAGATTTATTTACTTATTTATACAAGAGCTGGGGTACAGGCCAGATGCGCAGGAGGGTAAGAGGATTCACCAGAGACAGTGGTGAACAGAACAGGCAGACTGGTGAGGGGAGCAGCTGGCAAGACAGGAGAAGTCTGCTGCGCCATGTGGGACCCTCACCTGCGGGGATCGAACCAGCGCTGCAGAGGCTGCGGACAGCTTCACAGTGCTGTGCTCAACCGCCTGCGCCACCAGGGGAGGCCCATCATTGTCCATTTTAAAACAATATTTACTTCCCCCCACCCCTCAGGTGTAGTCCCTAGAGTTTCCTTCACCAATGCACCCATGCACCATCACCTCAGTCCCCTGTGCTCCTCCCTCCCTCCCTCTGATCCGTCTCCCTCCTCCTCCCCTGCAGTATGTCTCTGATTTATAATTGTCTGTTTTTGCTTTGTTGTGTTTTGTACTGTATTTTTTTACACTGATGTCTTATTTGGTTCCCCTATATTCCTGCTATAAGTGAAACCATCCGATATTTTTCTTTTTCCTTCTGGCTTATTTTGCTGAGCATAATTCCTTCTAGCTCCATCCATGTTGCTGCGAATGGCATGAGTTTATCTTTTTCGATTGCTGACTAGTATTCCATTTTGTATCTATACCACATCTTCTCAATCCAGTCATCTATTTTGGGGCATTTGGGTTGTTTCCAGGTTTTACCTATTGTAAATAGTGCTGCAATAAACATAGGGGTACAGGTGTTCTTTTGAATCAGTGTTTTTGTGTCCTTTGGGTAGACCCCTAGGAGTGGAATTGCTGTTAAACTTACATTTTAAACCCGCAACCCTGTTCCCCAGCAGCAGCCAAGGTGATGTTAATAGAGCTCCCAGTTTATAACACACAGCCAATTTCCCAACAGCTTGAAGTTTCTGCCCATGCATGTACATTATCCAGGTGGAAGAGGAGGTTTGGATTGCCAGCATTTCTCCTGCCAGCAGATTATGAAAAAAAAAAAAAAAAAAAGGAAAAGAAACAGCCAGAGGGCATGGGCCAGCTGACACATTTTTTTTTTAACTACATGTTATTATAATTGTGATGAAACAATACTTTCTTTGAAAATGGGTTCTTTCCTCACCTTGTAAGTGCTATAAGTTTGAATGACTTGTTTTTACCATAATTATTGTTGAACTATAGCTTAGCTTATGAATATGTATTTCAGGAATGCCCTGGGCTGGCTTTTATATTGAGACTCTGAAGCGAGTGCCCGTTGATAAGAACCTGTGGAAAACCAGTAAGGATTTGCAGGGTTTCTGTGAAGATTCTTGTAAGGAAAAGTGCACATTTACTTTAGGAGAAATACAGTTCATTTAGAAATTATTTGGAAGAGATGCAGTTCCATGATAGAGATAGGAGTTTCTCTGGCTGTCTTGGGAGGGCACCTGCTATTTGTGTTTGAGATGGTGCTCCTTGAAGAAAAACCATCTTATTCTATCAGAATGGCATTCAGTAGCTTAACTTTCTTGTCTGTACCTATTGTCCAAAATGTTGACTCTATAATTTAGGACATCTCATCCATGACTCTCACAGTTAGAAATGATGTAATTAATAAGGGTCTTTTTGGACTTACTTCTGGCCACCAAGTGTGAATATAGACTCCAGTTGGAGGCACAGGTGTGTTTGGGTCAAGGTTTAGATAATTTGATACGTTTGGCCTTATTGTTATTAAGTACCTTCTAAGATACCTCATGGATTATGCTGCTTAGATCATCCGGTCAGCTACAATTTCTGTAATGCTGAGCTGAACTTTCAGGTAATTTTGTACAATTGACTAGTCAGACATCAGAGTCCAAGAAGCTGCTGCATTTTGAGAAGGAAATACCAGCCAATACTGGGAGTACCACTATATGTGTGGTGTTACCCTTCTAATAAAAACACTTGGAAATAAAATCCTAGTTTGGGCATGGAAATAATACTGGGTTCACCCTAACAGGGGAAAATGGAAGGTTTCTTTCCCTTCCACTTTCATATATAGACATGGAAAATAGTAACCAAATACCCTTAAGTGTCTGAGTGGGAAATGTTACCAGTTCTTAGACCATTAGATCTTGAGATATGACTTGAAGCATAGTTAAAATAGGCAAAAATAATTGTTTGCCAAACATTTATTATTTTTTTAGACAGTCCAATCAATGATTACAACAAGTTTGTCTCTAAGGTTTTATCAATAGACATTAAGGGATTGTGGGTTGTCAAAGGGCCTCTAGGAATCTGCCCTTCTGTTCACAATTTTTTTCCTTTTCCTCCCCCAAAATACTCTCTATGATCTCTTATTGGCCCTAGAGCAAGATAGATGTTTGCAGGATGTTGAGCGGGTTTCCTGTCAGCTAAATTAACAAAGATTAACATTCTCAAACACTCCAAAGACTGGGGGAGGAGAACTGAGTACTATAGACTACAGAATTTTAAAAATTTTACAGATTATTTTAAAATTTGAGTGCCAGAGTTGTTTGAAAACTTTTTTTTCATGAAATTTTAAGTGCAAAAAAAGTAACTCCAATTCTAAGCCTTCACGTGACACCTTATTCTTATCATATATTTCTTCATTATGAACTGATTTCACAGGGAATTTTTCTGTAGAAGTCACTCCCTCTACACTGTTCAAGGGTTGCTGTAAAAATTCAGTCACCTCACAGTCTCTGTCAAGCCACAAAAGAGGAGAGACTTTGTGGGACTACATTAAATATTAATGTAATTTAGGCCCAAGAAGAAATACCAACCTGAACATTAAAAATACCTGACCTCCCCACAGATGGACCAACCATTAAAAAAGTCCCAATTCTTCTGACTCTCAAATCCTCATGATTCTTATTAGTTTTGCCAGCAATAAATGAATGTGTTCCTCAAACAAAACTCTTTAAACAAATGATTTATTTTTAATGATTTATTTTTTTGAATGCACACCACATCCGCACCAAAGAGAAAAGACATCCTGCAGTAAAGAACTTCTTGAGGAAGAACAAAAGGCAGGAGTACAAAGTACATTAAATGGGTATAGTTTAAGAATCTGGAAAAAAAGGCATTCTAACATCAGAGTTTTCCCACAACCAGAAAACATTGAGTCATTTGATACCCAGTGTTTCTAAGTTTGCTTTGCAGGAGGCTTTGGCAGGGATTCTGGCAGCATCTCCTAAGGGCGGTATTGAGATCTCTGCTCTTGGATGTATTCATAGAGAGGGCTGGAGCGCACAGGCACACTGGCAAACTGACGCGTGCCGGGCTCCAGAAGCTGCCGACGGGCCTTGTCTTCCTGGGGCCGCGTCTCCCAAGCTTGACCACGGCTCTGCTGCAGGTTGCGCTCTCCGCGGCGCCTCTGCTCCTCCTCCTGCTCCTCTCCGAGCTGTTCCTCGCGAAATTTCCTCTCGCGTTCTTGCGCACGCCTTTTCTCCTCGCCAGCAAACTGCTCCTCCGCCCGGTATCTCTGCTCTCGCTCCTGCGGACGCCTCAGCCCGTCCTGCTGCTCTCGCTGCAGTTCACGGAACTTTCTGTCGCGCTCCTGGCGGCGCAGCAGTTGCTCCTCCCTTTCTTCACGGAGCTGTTCCTCTTCAGGGAACTTTCTGTCGCGCTCCTGGCGCAGCTGTTGCTCGCGCTCCTGGCGGCGCAGCTGCTGTTCCTCTTCGAGGAACTTTCTGTCGCGCTCCTGGCGCAGCTGCTCCTCCTCACGGAACTTTCTGTCGCGCTCCTGGCGCAGCTGCTCCTCCTCACGGAACTTTCTGTCACGCTCCTGGCGCAGCTGTTGCTCGCGCTCCTGGCGGCGCAGCCGCTGTTCCTCCCTTTCCTGGAGAAGTTGCTCCTCCTCGCGGAGCTGTTGCTCGCGCTCCTGGCGGCGCAGCTGCTGTTCCCCCCTTTCCTGGAGAAGTTGCTCCTCCTCGCGGAGCTGTTGCTCGCGCTCCTGGCGGCGCAGCTGCTGTTCCCCCCTTTCCTGGAGAAGTTGCTCCTCCTCGCGGAGCTGTTGCTCGCGCTCCTGGCGGCGCAGCTGCTGTTCCCCCCTTTCCTGGAGAAGTTGCTCCTCCTCGCGGAGCTGTTGCTCGCGCTCCTGGCGGCGCAGCTGCGGCTCCTCTTCGAGAAACTTTCGGTCGCGCACCTGGCGGCGTCTTGTCTCCTCTCTTTCTTCTCTCAGGAGCTGCTCTTCCTCTCGGAACTTGCCGTCCCGCCGTTCGGCCTCCCTCCGCAGCTCTCGCTCCAGCAGGTCTTCGGCTGGGGCCTGCTTGTCGCGGCGCTGCCAGCCCCTCTCGCGCGCTCTCTCCTCTTGCGCATCCTGCAGGAAGCGTCTCTCCCGCTCCTGCAAATCTTCCTCTTGCCGGATCTTTTCTTCATTGTCTCTGCGTCTGGAGTAGATCCTGTTCCTACGAGCATCATTTTCTTTTTCTGGTTGCCACTGCCATTTCAGATCGCGGCTCTGATCCGCCTCCCTAAGCTGCCGCTTCCTGTCCTGGCGCCGCAGCTCCTCCTCCTCCAGGTACCGCCTGTCGCGCTGCTGGCGCCTCCTTTCTCTCTCCAGCTGCTCCTCCTCCTGCAGCAGCTCCTCGTCCCGATATTGCCTCTCCCGCTCCGGGCGTCCTCTCTGCAGGTGCTCTTCCTCCTGCAGCTCCTCCTCCAGGTACTGCCTGTCGCGCTGCTGGCGCCTCTTCTCCCTCCGCAGCTGCTCCTCCTCCTGCAGCTGCTCCTCTTCCCGATACTGTCTTTCCCGCTCCTGGCGCCTCCTCTTCTCGCGCTGCTCTCTCTGCAGCCACTCTTCCTCCTGCTGCAGCTGTTCTTCCTCCCGATACTGCCTGTCGCGCTGCTGGCGCCTCTTCTCCCGCTGCAGGAGCTCCTCCTCGCGCTGCAGCTGCTCCTCCTCCCGCAGCTGCTCCCGTTCGGCCGGCTTGGCATACAGCGCGTGGCGGCGTCTCTGGCTTTCCTCCTCCAGCTGCCACCTCCACGCCTGGCCGCGGCGCTGCTCCTCCTGGCGTCGCCTCCTCTCGCGCGCCTCTTGGAGGCTCTCCTCCAGGAGCTGCTCCTCCTCCTCGCGGAGCTGCCGCGCCCGCTCCCTGCCGCGGCGCAGCTCCTCTTCCTCCTCCTCGAGGGGCAGCGGCTCCTGCTCCCTGCGCTCCTCGGCTCTCAGCTGCCTCTCCCGCTGCTGCCGCCACGCGGGCCTGGCCGACAGCCGCTGGCTGCGCCTCTTGCTTTCTTCCTCCGCCTGCCACTGCCACTGGAAGTCGCGGCGCGGCTCTTCCCCCTGCTCCCGCAGGCGCTCGCGCTCCTCCTGGCGCAGTTGCTGCTCGCGCTCCTGGCGGCGCCTCAGCTCCTCCTGCTCCTGGCGGCGCCTCAGCTCCTCCTGCTCCTGGCGGCGCCTCAGCTCCTCCTGCCTGCGGGGCCGGGAGTAGACTTTGCTCTGACGCGCCTCGACTTCGCTTTCTAGCTGCCACTGCCATCTCGGGGGTCGACTCTCGCCCAGCTCGCGGGCTCGTTCCTGCACCCCCTTCTCAGCCAGCTGCAGCTCGCGCCTCTCCTCCAGTCCGCGCCTCCGTCCCTGCTCGCGCCTCTCCTCCTCCTGGCGCCTCAGCTCCTGCTCGCGCCTCTCCTCTGCCTCCTGGCGCCTCAGCTCCTGCTCGCGCCTCTCCTCTGCCTCCTGGCGCCTCAGCTCCTGCTCGCGCCTCTCCTCTGCCTCCTGGCGCCTCAGCTTCTGCTCGCGCCTCTCCTCTGCCTCCTGGCGCCTCAGCTTCTGCTCGCGCCTCTCTTCCTCCAGGCGCCTCAGCTCCTGCTCGCGCCTCTCCTCTTCCTCCTGGCGCCTCAGCTCCTGCTCGCGCCTCTCTTCCTCCAGGCGCCTCAGCTCCTGCTCGCGCCTCTCCTCTTCCTCTTGGCGCCTCCGCTGCGGCTCGCGCCTCTCCTCCAAGCGCCTCAGCTCCTGCTCGCGCCTCTCCTCCTCCAGGCGCCTCAGCTCCTGCTCGCGCCTCTCCTCTTTCTCTTGGTGCCTCCGCTGCGGCTCGCGCCTCTCCTCCTCCAGGCGCCTCAGCTGCTTTTCGCGTCTCTCCTCCTCCAGGCGCCTCAGCTCCTGCTCGCGCCTCTCCGCCTGCTCCAAACGCACCTCCTGCTCGCGCCTCCGCTCCTGCTGCCGCCTCTCCTCCTCCAGGCGCCTCAGCTGCTCACGCCTCTCTTCCTGCTCCAAGCGCGTCTCCCGCTCGCGCCCCCGCGACTGCTGGCGACTCTCTTCCTGCTCCAGGCGCGCCTCCTGCTCGCGCCTCTCTTCCTCCTGGCGTCTCAGCTGCTCTTCACGCCTCTCCTCCTGCTCCAAGCGCACCTCTTGCTCCAAGCGCGTCTCCTGCTCGCGCCTTCGCAGCTGCTCGCGCCTCTCTTCCTGCTCCAGGCGCGCCTCCTGCTCGCGCCTCTCCTCTTGCCTTCTCAGCTGCTGCTCAAGCCTCTCCTCCTGCTCCAAGCGCGTCTCCTGCTCAGCGCGCCTTCGCTGCTGCTCGCGCCGCTCTTCCTGCTCCACGCGCGCCTCCTGCTCGCGCCTCTCCTCCTGCCGTCTCAGTTGCTCACGCCTCTCCTCCTGCTCCAAGCGCACCTCTTGCTCCAAGCGCGTCTCCTGCTCGCGCCTTCGCTGCTGCTCGCGCCTCTCTTCCTGCTCCAGGCGCACCTCCTGCTCGCGCCTCTCTTCCTCCTGGCGTCTTAGCTGCTGCTCGCGCCTCTCTTCCTGCTCCAGGCGCACCTCCTGCTCGCGCCTTCGCTGCTGCTCGCGCCTCTCTTCCTGCTCCAGGCGTGCCTTCTGCTCGCGCCTCTCTTCTTCCTGGCGTCTCAGCTGCTGCTCACGCCTCTCCTCCTGCTCCAAGCGCGTCTCCTGCTCCAAGCGCGCCTCCTGCTCTTTGCGCCTCTCCTCCTGTTCCCAGCGCGGCTCTTCCTCGCGCCTCAGCTGCTGCTGGCGCCTCTCTTCAATCTCCAAGCGCTCCTCCTGCTCGCGCCTCGCCTCCTGCTCCAAGCGCCTCGCCTCCTGCTCGCGCCTCCGCTCCCTCTCCAAGCGCGGCTCCTCTTGCGCGCGCTTCTGCCTCCGCAGCTCATGCTCTTCCTCCAGGCGTTCTCTTTGCCACTGGGACTCCTCTTCGCCGCGCTCGCCCTTCAGCTCCTGCCGCTCGCGCCTCTGCAACCGCTGTTCCTCCTGGCGCTCGAGCCTTTGCTCTTGGTCGGGAGACTCTGGCGCGGATCCCTTACGCCTCTGTAGCTGTTCTTCCTCCTCAAGGCGCTCCTCGCGTTCTCGCCTTTGCCACCGCTGCTTCTCGTCGCCGCGCTGCCTGTCGAGGCGCTCACGTCTCTCTTGCTGTTCCCTCTGCTGCTCTTCCTTGGCGAGCTCCCTCTCGCGTTCTTGCCTCCTCTGCCTGCGGTCTTCTTCCAGTTGTCTGTCCCGGGCCTCGAACCTTCTTTGGGCGTCTTGTCTGCGATCTTGTAACGGGTCCCCCTTTCTCTCACTCTTGGTTCCCCTCTCATCTAGCCCCGAGGCCTGACTGAGAGCATAATAACAAGCTTGAGCCACTTTGAAAATGAACAGGAGGAATTCATTGAAATCGACAACTTGGTTGCAGTCGCGATCCAAAAGTTCCAGGATCAGATCTACTGTCTCCGGATCATGTGGTCTCTGAAAAAGGAGAAAACAAAAATTTTACAATGCGCTATTTATTTACAAGCAGTAAGCTTTCTCTCACACAATGTATAGTTATGATATGTTGACATTCAAAAGACATTAAGAGCAATTAGAAAACACCTAGTGTGTAGTCATGTCTCCGTGTCAAATGCGAACACCTCATTTTAAAGCATTCTTGGCAAATCTTGCCTCTACTAACTTAAGGCTGATCAAAAGTTATCTGCAGCTGGCTGAATAAGAATTTACACCCTCAAGAGAGAAATGTAATGGACATTTATGAAGATCTACAGCAGTCATATCTGTTTGAAATAGCTGGTATCCCTGAGTTGATTTTTATTCTGTGTTTGAAACCAGACAAAACATTTATGATAACACCATTTTAGTTAAGAACAGGCTGATTTGAATTATTGGAAATTGGAAGTAAATTTACATCCCTTCCAAATCTCATTTGATTGGACATCTTTGGTGATAACTTCCCAGGAACATATTGTTCACAATGACTTTGCATCAACTACATGAAATACCTGCCAGCAATTTCTTTAATACTGAAATTTCAATGCCAAGTCAGTACCTTCAGACTCAGGTATGAATGGGGCATGTGGTGTGGAGCTGTCATATGTAAAATGAATCTAAAGCCACCATTCCTTGTTTTGGCCTCTTCTAAGAAGAATTTTCATACTTCTAAATCAATAGAGATTTCCTTGTCTTGTTATTGCTTACCCGAAGGACGTCTCCAAATTCCATTTCAAGGAGGTTCTTCAAGTCTTTCTTGCTTAGTGCTGCCCCATCACAATCATGTGAGGCATATTTATTGTAAGTTTCAGTGATATCAAGGATGCTTCTCAGAAGTGGAGACATTTTTTTTTCTTCCTTCAAGTTCAAGTAAACCTTGAACAATAAAATAAACAGTAAAATAGCATCAAGAATCATAATTCTGAGTCTGATCTTGGGAAGCTTCATTCCCTCTGTTTCGGGTAGACCTTTAAATAATCTACTTTACAACAGTAATCACTTTCAACCTTGGCTTTCAAAGCATTTTATCTTTGAATATTTTACTCAAAAAGAGGAAGAGAAATCCTGAGAAATTTCAAGCCAGGGAATCATCTTCAGGCCATCCTGTAGTCTTTTGATTGTCCACCTAGTCTGGAATATCCATCTCCTTTCTTTATCTCTCTTCTAGCTCCCCAGAATACTTCAGACCAGATAAAGAAGACAGGAGTGTAGAAATTTAAATTTGATGTGTTGCTACTCATAAGCATCTTCCTCTAAAGTTGAACAAAGAAGAGAAGTAAAAGCCAAAAGGTGAAGGAAGATTTGAGAAAATCTTAAAATGGATAGAAGAATGAACACCCACTCATGGCAGCAACACTTCAGGTAGTAACTAGAAAATGAAAATTGAATGTGGATTATTCTTCAACATTATAGTCCATAAGAGATCTAGGAATATAATTCATAAGTAGCCAGTTCTGAGATTAAACATTACTTCTTCCTAGTCAAAGATGGCATTGTAATTATTTAAATATAGCAATGCAGAAAAGCAAGAGTGCATGTTACCTGCCTGAACTCAACTATCTTACAGATATTCAATTATTGAAAGCACTGAAAGATACTTTATGACTAACTACCAGAGTCAGTGGGTCAAACTTAACTGGAAAACTTTGAATAGTATTGGTCTTATGGTTAGCTTTTGTTAAACCCAAATAAATCATTTGCATCTTGCATTATAAAAGACAGGACTTAGCCAGAAGCAGATCTGTGTTATACATGAAAACTTCACTGACTGGGGTGAGTATAGTGGTTCATCAAGCTGTCTTCTTTACTTCTCAATTCTAATACTTCAGATGCCATAACAACATGATGATAATCGTATGTGTAGAACAAATAAAAAGAGCTGGGACAGACTTTTGAGATGGCAGTTTGAAGCAAGATGAATCCCATCAAAATCACACAGCATCATCCCCTAACTCCTTTTTGACATGAAAGCAAGCTTATAGAATTCAGAGCCTTTGGAAGAAGAGCCAGTTTCCATTCAAGCGATGGTTTCAACTATGAAAAGTTGGCATGGAGTTAGGGGGAGATAGGTATCCCTGTAAGACACTGATGCCTTCTGACAATATACCACCCCCCCTCCCTGCAAGATCTACAGCAGCTGGACAACGAAGAATTGTACAGAAGAACACGATGATCCCACTGAATGGGGCTTACCCACTTCACCAGAGGAAGAAGTCAAGTGCTCGCTGACACCGCTGGCAAGTGTGCTGGACAACTGGGAGCTGGTCCTTTTATAGGGGTTTTAATTGTGCCCTGGAGAACAACTTGGGGAGGAGACGCCCACTCTGTAGGATGGCCTGATTCATTCCTAACCAAGCCCAGCTCCACCTCTGTCTCCACGAATGGCTTGTTTATCTCACTATTTGCTCACGTAGCTATTTGGCACGAGATTCACAGACCTTACCTCCTGACGTTAGGGTCCTGGCCCTAACATGATGGTAGAATATTTGACAGGATTTCTCTTTTCTCAATTGTTAAAGTTAAATAAAATGATAAAACAAAGGAAGTGTTTAGAATTTTAACTTATTTTGACTTCATGACAAAGTAATAACTCCTAAGCCATTTACTTTATAAAAGATATGAATTCTAGATTGGGTTAAACAGAAAGCTTGACATAAACTGATGTGAACTGATTAATTTCTACCTGGGCTGTCACAACCTGCAGGGAGGTGCTTTTAGCCCTGTCTGAAGCAATTCTAGGACAATGAGGGGGAATAGGGAATTCTGTCTAGCTTTTTGTCTAAAAATGCAGATGGGAAAAGTTGCATTTGTATTCTTGCAAGGTTTTCCTACATAGTAAACAATTTTGAACGGTACTTTAAAGCTATGTTTTCATTAAATTATGCATAAGGAAACTTGAAATCTGTGAAATTTCATTCTTCATTTCATTTACATGTAAATGAAAGGCACTCATTTCTTCTCTCATTAGCATATTGAAGCCCCTGGAGAAAAAGAGCTGGTGTAATGCATTATTGTAGATATAATCATCCTGCTTAGTCCAAGCTACTAATGATTATGACATCTAAACACTTGACTCTGCTTCTCCTGGAAGCACATTAAGGTAATCGGTCATTCTAGCCCATTACATCTGTCAGGGCTTTCTCAACCCTGTCAATCATTTGCGAATCTCGGTAGGGTTTTATTGTAAGGAACTGGATTTTATCCCTGGTTGTCCGTGACTCCCACCCTTATGCCTCAGAGTACATGAAACTGGTTCACAATGGATTTATGAAAACTATTAAATGATTCAGTGGTTTTTGACATTTCTCACTCCCCCTTTGTCCAACAGAGCCAGATATTAGTTTTCTGAATTTTGAGGAGTCTCTTTAGGCTCCTTTGATGGAAAGTAAAGTTTTGGATCCCAAATCTGGATGGCTCATCCTTTATGTGTGGATTGGTCCAGATGATAGTGGAGGTGAATATGTGGGTTCTATTTGCTCCCTTACTTGCCATTCCAGACATGGGGTGAAGAGGGAAGTGGAATTGACAGCGATGGGAAGACAATTGTAAGCCTGGCTCCCTTTTGTCCCTTCGAGGACTCTTGAATGTTGTGGATCTGAGGGTTATCCTAGAACTAGCACTCTTTCTGGTGGTTTTAGCAAACTTGATGTAGCAGGTCCTTAGTAATGAGTGAACATTTCTCTTTATTCTATTCAGGATTTTGTACAGCTTTATTGATCTTGGAATTCTAGGGTAGGACCATCATGGGTATTGTATACACAGCAACCACAAATCATCACGAACCTCTTTCTCAGATGGCACTAGTCTTTTTTATGGGTATATTTAAGGAATTACCTGGACAAACTCTGCCTTGTGTCTGATTCTATTTCTATCCATCTATTTGTGAGCTTTGGGGAACCTCTGTCCAGATGTTGCATGTATTTGTATGATTCTATTACCTTTCTAGAGTAAATATGCTCACAAGAGGAATGGGATTTTATCTGGTTCTATGAGAATAAAGAGAAAATATTAATTATTCTAAAATCATAGTTGAATAAGCAAAATAAATGTAGGGGCAGACACAGTGAATAGCCTCCTGAAAAGCCTTGAGAAAAGGACTGAAATTGAATATATATAACAACAGAAGTCTTTCTCCACTCTGAATGAAGGGGGATCTTAAAACCAGTGATGGCTGTCTTACCCACTTTCATATAAAACAGTACAACACAAGGAGAAATATTTAAAAACCTACATGAAACTAAGAGAATTTGCCTCTCTCCTGTGCTCTGCTTGCCATCATCAGCAAGATTGTAAGCAGATTCAAATGCTAAATTTAAAAGCCAAGTTTGATATTCTCCTAATGAAGTGGTCCTCATTGCTATATAATGTTCCTTTACTACATAGTGTTGTCATTTAAAAATATAATCTTGAAAGGAACTCCTGACATAAGGTTTCAACAGGACTTTTTTTTATTGCTTTCTAGTTCTTCAAAAGGTTGGTGAATGCCAGAGAACGTAGAAAAGCATCAAATTCTAACACATTAGTTCAGTCTATGTTTGTAAAAACCCAACTGGGAATCCTTGAAATGTGGCAGTGTTTACACATTATGGTTCATCCAAAAAGAATGATGTTTTTATAATCTGAGGTTCTCTATATGTTTTATAGACAAAAAGCCTCATTATCTTCATTTTATAAGACTGGAGACTAAGGCACTGAGAGGTCAGACAACATACTGACTGGCCCAGGAATGACCCAAGTGCTCCTGCTCCCAGCAGTAAGAAAGTCCTTCTTGACCAAGGGTTAATGCCATGGGTCTAGAGCACAGCTGTAGTATTGTAGTGTTACTTGGTTTTGAGATTTTGGCTCTTCATCATAGAGGAACTGAAAAGAGAAAATAAAATCAGTATCACTCAGATGCTTTAATATTACATCAATTACGAAGCTTCATAGGTGCTGAAATGTGCAAGTAGAGCTGAGCTGGATCAGTAGAGAGCTAAGGAAATAATATGTCTTCCTGGTCTTTACCTCGTTCAAAAGCACATTTTCCATTTTTTCCATCAGGACCCAGAAAAAGGAAAAAACAGACTTGAATATCTGTGACATTCTACCAGGACCATACTCTGTTTGCTCTTATTGGAAAACAGCCCTGTGAAAATTTAAAAAAGGTCCCAATTTCATAATCCACCCAATAGACTTCTGCAGAATCTGTTATGAGCCATGATGCAGAACTCTAGGAAAATGTGCAAGTAGAATGATTTTAAATGGCTTAGATTCTTGAGTTCCCTATGCAGTCCTGTCCAGTGAAGACCCTTCCTTTAAAGTTATATGTTAAACCTTTCAAGTTTTCTTATCGCTTCTTCTTAATGACCCATTCCTGATACCCACCTCTCCCAGTCGAAAACCTAATGTATTTTGTTTGAGTTCTGCACAAATTCCATTTACTCCCTCAAACCTTCCTTGATGTCACATATAATGATTTTCAGTTTTTAGTAAAATTCCCCACATTGTGAGCATCATACAATCCAGTACCAGTGAATGTGTCATTTCCATGCTCTTCTCAAGTTTAATGGGTGCTTGTTTTGTCTTCTTGATTAGGTTTTAAGTTCCTTGAAGGCAAAACAGTATCTTTTATTCACACTAGGTGTTTAGTAAAATCCTTGGTGATAGGATATAATTTTATTGCTGTGTGGCAGTTTAAATGGCCAACAGGTCAGAATGAGATGAGTCGCTTGATCTGGGATAGAGTTCTGTGGGTTCGAATGATGACTTAGGGATGAAGGCACCCACCATAATGGGAGTCAGCCCTTCTGGGGCCTCTTTCTAGTTTCACCACTTACAGGACAGATGACGGGGAGCATTACTCCACC